TGCACAATGCGAAGAGAGGAAAGTGGGCGTTTCTTGTGTTCTAATGTTTGTTTTTCAGATGAAAGATAAACTGCACCTGCTTCAGGGATACCACGGTAGTATGGATCATGAGGAAAATGAGCCTCTACTTTGGCACCAAAGCCCACAATATGAATTGAGGACGATCCGGGAGGAACAACTGAAGATGATTGGAACAGTAATCTACACACATACAGATGCATGTTTTATACTTTGGACCACGACCAACAGAGGGAGTATAGTAATGTTATTGTCATAGGTGGTCATGGTCCTTAACCTTCTAAATCATTAGAAAGAAGTGTAAAACATATATTTACAAGACCAAATACATAATAGAAAAGGGCAGCCTAAAAAAAAGCAAAATGGGAAAATTATTAAGTAATTTTCGGAGTTGCCAAAATGGAATAAAATTCTATATTTGTCCCATAGGGGGTCATTCTAAATTTAGTGTTGTGCAAATTCAAAAGGAGAAATAATAGCGCTTATAACATCAAACAGATCTACTCTTTAAGATAATAATAGAATAGAATGAAATAGTCTGGAGCTATAATGTCATTGGATTCGAGGAGCTATAGGTTGAAAAGTCGCTAAGAAGAGGTGTCAGAATAAACAATAGTAATAATAGTTAGACTAGTGAATAATCAAAATAGTTCTATTGTGGAAATAAGTATCAATAAGGTCAAATTGTTCTAATAACTAAAGTAAAAAGGAATCAAATGGAGTCAGATTGTAGATGTTTCTGTTTTCCACATCTGTAGGAATTAGTGCAGATGTGTTTATAGAGAGTAGTATTAAAATGCAGACATAGAACGACAGGCGTTAACACAATTTTAAATCTAAAATAGCTCAAATATAACATTGCTCTTGACGCAGCCTCTGAGCTGCTCCATTGGAGAACAGGTTAAATGTTATTGTTTATTACAAACAGCTGATGTATTCACACATATTAAGTTTGGGACAACTCTTTAAACAGTTATAAGCAGCGGACAGAAGCCATGAATGTGCTTTTGTTTATTAAATAATTAATTTCATAGCCTTATAATCGTGGAAAACGTTTTAAAATAGTTAAAATCCCTTTCAGGCAACTTGATTTAGATGTATGTCTTTAATATTGGAGAACGACTGTGTTGTTTTTGGAATTGTCTGAAATACAATACATAGAATAGTGATTTGCAGAACAAGAACCAGCCAATAAAAAATCGTCTATTGCCAATGCTATTGTTACAATCAGAACTCACAAATTGGGAATAGGCTTTGGCTCAAACTACTACCAAGATTTGGAGTCACAATAGAGTATAAAATAGATAGATGCTTTCAAAAATAGAGATTATTTTTAGACAGGGCTAATATCAAGCGGTAAAAGGACCATTTCCTTCATATTATGTCCAAAAGTATTTACTTTAAAGGTAGATGAAGTTCATTACAGTTTATGCACAGGTTTATTAGATACTGTCAAATTCGCTTGTTTCAAACATAGGTGAATGTTAACAATGCCAAAAGTTAATGAGATAGATTAGAAACAACAGAGATTCAAAAACATTTAAAAGCATTTTAATGTATTTGGGTATAGCACAAAAGTAGATATTTAGGTATTTTTTGAGAATTTTAAGAGCTGTCAATTTGTCAGCAACAGATTAGAGAATCAAAATACCGTTGTATAGGGACTAACCCCAGAGAAACCTGCTAAAATAGATTAGCTCCTGTACGGATAATACCAATTTGATTAACAATGTACATTTATCCCAAACGGTCTGAGAGAAGGAAGTGACAGCACTTCCTGGTTCAACAAAATGTGTTTGGAAAAATGAGCAAAGCCCCACAAAATGGCACAGAGCCACTGAGAATGACAGCAGTGGTCATCAAAGAGTTTTGTAAGGAATGTTTCGAATGTTGTTGTGTGTGTATTCTTTCTGTATTAACTCTTCACAGATAACGAGCCAGAACCAAGAACCAAGGCGATGATGGACGAGCTCCCCAGTCTCGGCACCCAGAAGGAATATTGAAAGATTGTGACCTAAATTGGTTTAATATAGGTCAACAGAGGGGAACTGTTGTATATTTTAATATTTGACCATTTGAACATCATAGCCAGAAAGACCTCTGTGCACTCAGGAAAAACCCCAAGGACACAGGATAATCAGACATGAGTCATAAAGATAAAATGCTGTTTAAACAGGGCGAATTATTAACTTTAAATAATAAACATTTTGACGAGGACAAGAGTTCAGAACCTGAATCTTGAGGCAGACTGGGAGATTCACCAACTGCATTCTGACGCCTCCCAGTGGACAAGGGACGTCAGCACACCCGGAAACTCCACCCCTTGGACGCATAAGGATGACGTCATCGGAAGTCTCCCTCATGAGCCCCTGTGTGTTTTTTTTGAGGTCAGACAGGACAGGGCACGGACAGGGGAAGAGCAGGCCTAGAATAGGAGCACTTTTGTTGAACATTCTGTATCTGATTGTAAAGATAATTAAATGCAGATGTTAAACGTGAAGATCTCTTGTCTCGCTCTTGCATCGACTTTGGATACGTCAGTCAAAGGGAATTATTGACTTCACTATATTACATCTGTCCATATGCAGTCTGCATCAGGACTCATCCATCATATTTTGTCAATAAAGGGGGAGAAAACATGAGGAATTTTTAAGTCCTTTCTGAATTATTGTAAACAGTTCTGATGAAAAAGCAGATATCAATCATTGTCATTGTCATTGTTTTGTTTGCACTAGACTCTGGGGAGAGTTTGACAAGAAATTAAAATAGACATTGAAAACCACCTGAGATCCTGTTCGATCATGACATTTCCAAGTAATCAAAATCGGTGCAAAACGTGAGTAAATGTTTAGCATTAACTGGAAATTACAACCACAACCTACTTATTTGAGGCCGAACTAAACCTCCACAGCTTTGTTTCACTTCCTTCATCATTCTGGTTTTGCCTTTACAACCGTGTGAAAGGAATCATTTCAAAAAATAAAAAATAAACTGTTTACCTGATACACGCTATCGATTTCTTTCCACAAGCTATTATTAGTTTGAACAAATTACTTTAATAATCTAGCATTTTTATCGAAGCTTTTCACAAGCTGGTTTCACAACGGATATATTTGTTTTTTCTTCTTGTTTATCTAATGTGCACACTGGGGGACCTTTGCACAAGTATTCCAATGTGGTTTTACTGCAAATAGAAAATAATTTTGGATTGTTTATAGTGCATACTGGGGACTTTTGCATGTCTATTCCAATGTAGTTTTACTTTCTGCAAATGGCAAATCTGAATCTGTAATTTTATATGTACATTCTTTGATTTTAAAGTCTTTTCTTGTTTTTTGAGTATGAACTGTGCTATACAAATAAACTTGCCTGTCGTGTTTTTACAATGGCCATAGAAACATAGATAGATAATATCCAATCAACATGTGTCCTGTCTTCATGTGGCGGTGGTTTGAGTTCACACAATAGAACATTAAAGCTGGGGTATCTAACTTTTAGTAAAACACAAAAAGATTGAACTAAAATCCATCCAACTTCTTATTGTAAAAACAGCTTGGTGCGATCACTCTAGTTTTCACATTCCTGTGTAGTTGGCTTCTGTCACATCTATAGATCCACTTTTTCAGACAGAAAAATGAAAAACAAAGCACTCAACCAATCAGCTCTCAGCCCAGAGCTTCACACAGAGACTCAAAGGGCTCTGTGTTACAAGTGTGCAAAAGACAGAGACAACAAGATGGTCTAATTTATTTATGTGCATATTTATTTTACTCATACAAGACTTTTGGTTGGGACAAACAACAAGTAGGTCTGTTGTTTGTGAAGAAATAAAGTTAGGTATACCCCATCTCTAACAAGTTAAATCATAATAATAGGAACAATATATCTCACGTGAAACAAGAAGTAGTACACATGGTCAGTGATGCATTTAAGAAGAACAAAGGAAAAGCACAAATGAAAAGACATATGCACGCTATTTCACGAGAGCAGTCCCTAGAGGGCGCTAAAACTCTCCTTTTGAGAAGTGTTAGATTCACGTCCCCTGTCTCTGGATCAAGGAAACTGTCTGAGCCCTGTGTCAACTGATTTAGTTCAGTTTTATTTAAAGAGCAGACGTTTAAAAGTCTGAGAAACCTCGTGAATTCGATTAGTAAAACAGAATCAGAGGTGATCCGTGGCACTGTAGCGCCCCCAAGTGGATTTTTAAAGTACATGACAAAGCATTATTTTTTTATTTTATTGCCATTAATATAAGTACAGCCACAAACATGTACCTATAGCTACATGAAATATCACATTTCATCTGCTGTCCCTGGAAATATACTTTTAATGAAAATATTCAGTTTAAAAAATAAAGTCATATTTAATAGAATTTTTTGATTGAATTAACATGGACAGGGTTTTTGTAAGTAAATGTTAAAAGTACATTTAGTGAGAACTGGGGAATGAAAACTTCTGATCATTGTTATTAGTAGTTTCTGTTTATTTAACAACGAAGGACTCTACATCGCAACAAATGATATTGAACGACCCTTACTTCTCTTTCTGACTGTTGCACTGAGCCAAAGCAATTTCCAAGTCTGTGACTTCCTGTTACTTACGTGGCAATAAAAATCATTCTGATTCTAATTTTTACCTTGTACTTTTGATGAAAAAACTAGCTTTGGATGGTGTTTGTCATTTGTAATTTGAGTTTCTGGGTTTTCCAATGGTACATAAACCATTCTCTTCTATCTGTCAAAATCTCTCTTCCTGCTGTGGTTCACTAAAGTGTGATTTAGTACAAGTTAGAGTCCAGTAGGGGGCAGTGCAGGGCAGGAAAAACAAATTTAAGTGAACAAAAGAAACGCAAGAAAATGGTCTCAAATTCGGGCCCAAAGCAGTGCCAGAGCAGTCCCAGGAGACTGTGTGCCAGTAAAATAAGGAGGAGGATAAAAAGACTGAGTCCCGCTGTATTACTCAGGCTGAACTACTGTGTCTATTCACAGGCGCGATCCCACTACTGAGCGGCACGGGGGCTTTGACCTGCTCCGTTTCCGACCTGGGCCGGTGCACCCCTCCTTAGACGACCTGGTGGTCCCGGGCTCCCCCAGGAGCACCATATCGATACCGAACTTAGTGCGGACACCCGATCGACATAGTCCACTGCAGCTCAGAGCTCCTGAGCTCAAACGCTCCTCCAGCCTCAGCCTCCCGTAGCTTGGATTACAGGCGCACGCCACTGCTCCCGGCGACTTCTGCAGAGCTCACAGGAGATTTGGGCTTTACCTGCGTGACGTCATCCATCTGCATGTCCGTGTCTCGGACTCAATAGTCTGTAGGCTGACTAGGTTTTATCCAGAAATAAATTTCTAACAAAAGTCTTTCTTTCTGAGATTTGTTTAAAAAGTGATCCAAGTTTGTGATTGCCACTGGCTCTTTGGATGAGGCTAATATTCATTATTTATCCAACAATAAATGTGTTTCACAGCTGGTGATTTCTCAAAGGTTACGTTAACGTCCTCATTCCCCCTTGTCAGCAGCACTGGGTTCTGCAGGAGCGGGCATGCACCTCCATGTGATTAGTGGAAGGGGAAACCGGAGCCCGGAGGATTTAATAAGGAGACACATGGAGAACATGCAAACTCCACTCAGAAAAGCCCTGTTCCAATCAGGGTTTGAACCTAGAACTGAGTGAGTGCTGAGGTTGACTTCATGTGACAATGACAACAACATTAAAATGTTATTTTTTGAGATTCCTTTATTGACAAATATTCACTTATTAGTTACATCTCAAAATAACCACAATACATTATATTTAGATATAATTTAATCACCATAATTTACACAATAGTCATTAAATTATGATGATAAACATTAAATAAACACATCATAAATATAGCAATCTATTATAGCAATAAACCATATGTATCTAATTAAAGCAGTTTCAGTCGTTGATGAGATACAGAAGCACTTGACTCTAATGCAACAATCATCAAGGTCCCAGATGTTAAAATGTCGCTGGTGCGTCTTATATACAGGTGCACTTTATATACAGGTGCTTTATAGTCCAGCGAGTCCTGTGCCTGTAAATTGTATAAGAATCATTCACTTCTCATCATTCTCTCCAAATGTCCTTAATGAAAGGAGCTCCGTCTCTTCTGTGGTCTGTAGTTCATGATGTTATAATGCAGCCACACGTCACACAACCACAACACACGTCTGAGGCAGAAAGAAAGTGTCTCTATTGTGAAGAAGGAGGGCTCACTCTGTGGGCGTGGGATCTTTGCAAACATTACAAACAGGACTTCCAAAAGGACTAGAACCCAAACCAAGGTGCACCCGAGCTGTGCCCACTGGGACGTCCGCACGGCTCGGGTTTGGAGCGGCCAGCGAGACACCAGCGTGGCTTCAAGTCCGAGAAACCCCAAGAAGCACAAAGAGGCGAGAAGGTGCGTGTCAAGAAGGTGATTTGAGACGATGATCCACACTTCTTTCAACCATGATATGTGAAGATCTTGGATTAGAACGCAGTCATTAGAGTCCAGTCCCAGATAGAGGGTTATTCTAAGTCCAAATACATGTGTCCAGTGCAGTATCAGCAAAGCATCCGTGAGAGCGAGATGGTAGAGAAAGACTGTGGAGGGCTTGGTGGAGACGCGAGGGGACCGGAGGAGGACCAGGGCCTTGAGGCTGAAGGGGCAGCCCAGGACCAGGCCCAGGAGCGTCCAGTGGGGGAACAGCAGCAGAGTGACCAGCTTGAGCAGGAGGAAGCTGCGTAACCACGACCGGGAGCTGGATACTCCCCCCTCCAGGACGGGACAGGCCCTGAACCAGCAACCCACGGTGCAGAGACAGCGCAGAGGCCACCTAAAGGGAACAGAGGACAGTATAAGCGTGAGGTCCAAACAGTGTGTATGTTGACAGGTCTTGCTTCTTCAACATGCTATAGATTTTAGACTTGCTTGGATCCTAATTACGCTAAAGCTGGAGATTTTATACTTTATTCTTTCTCCTTAAACTCTTTTTAAAAGTCAAATAAATGTAGACATTTTAAAAATAAATGAGTGTTACTTAGTGTCCAATCTCTCATTCTGTGATGAACCTGGCCCAGTTTGAACTTTTTTCTTTTTTTGTGTGAAATGGGAGTTGTTAAAACCCAAGATGTGGTCGTTACAGATCAGAGTTTCTGTTTACCCTGAACCTTAGAGGTGGACTTGGCAGTTTGATCTTTCTTTGTGCAGATTGTTCACACTTATAACTAAAGTTTATGAGTCATTAGCAGCCAAAACTGTATTGATCATTTAGGGTGACAGCAGTTCAGTTGGTAGAGCACTAGCCTTTGAGCCAGAAGGTTGCGGGTTTGAGTCCACCTCAAGACTTTCACCATCAACTCCCACTGTGGCAGTAAAGTGCCAAATTGCCATTGTGTCCTTAGGCAAGACACTTCACCCCCATTGCCTAGAATGAGTCTGATGTGTGTGTGTGAATGGTTGGTGGTGGTCCTTTTGCACAGAGCTTAATGGAAACAATGCTTTTGCATATTCTGCTCCTTCTACAGTACATGGAACGAGTCGCAAAAATACTGGAAAATACCTGAATTTATAATATTTTAAAGTCCAGATGGAGAGCACTTCCTCATTGACATGTAACTGTTTTTCATTTCATTTCCAACCCCTTTGTCCATTTCTGGGTCAGGGGGGGGTGGCAATGAGAGCTACCACCCAACGCTCATAGCACCAGTCCCTCGCTGATCTTCAGGAAGATGGCTGCTCCGTCAATTGTGAAACAGCCTTGATCTTTCAGTGGGGGGCTTCAGGCAATGTGGGGTTAAGTGTCTTGCCCAAGGACACAACGGCAGCAGTCATCAGTGGGAGCAGTTGGAGTAGGTCCCATGGTGGGAATCGAACTCACGACCTCCAGGCCCAAAGTCCAATGCTCTACCAACTGAGCTACTGTCGCCCTGTAACTGTTTTTATAACATGTAATTTCATGTAAATGTTTGTACTTTTGCAAACTCTTGTCCAGGACTTCCCTGACCATGTTATATCCGTCACATCTTTAGCATACATTTTGTCCTGTGCTCCCAGACGAGGGTCTCAGAACTGAATTTAAAACTTTCTAAACCACTCCAAGCAACAACAATCTGAGCAATTTTCTAGTTTGTGACTTTCTGTTACTCACAAGGGCAATACAAAGAATTCTGCTTTTGAACTGTTACATATGACTGTGTAATTATGGCTCTTTCATGTTCTTTTGTCCAGGTCAGCTCTGTGCGTGCAATAGTTCAATCATAACCCAGGTTTCCCCAAAGTCAGTACTTAGACATGTAATCGACCCAATTAAGTCAAATGGAACTTTCTGAGCGTTCCCTGTGTGACCCGTGGGCGAGATTTCTCTGAATGGCTTTCACTTTCTGAGGCAACACATGCAAACAAAAGAGAAAGTATCATATTTACTTCAATATTATCAACAACTAACCACATTCAAAACACATATTCTTGATCATAAATGAACCCTAACCCATTATTTTCCTATGAGACTTATCACAGCTAACAGAAACTTACATACAGTACAAGTACACTACATATAGATTCCAAAAAGTTCATTTTGTCTTGAGTTAAAATGCTTATTTGGTTATTTTGAACGACAAAAGAACCATAAAAGTACAGTACATATATTTGAATGACTTACACATGAAGTGGCTGGTTACGGTTCATTGTTGGGTTAGGTCGGTAATGAGGCTTGTCCCATCACAGTCCCGGAGCAAACGGGACGTCCCAAGCTCAGATAGAGGGAAACACACACTGCTGCTGTCCCACCTCAGTGCCGATGAGGACTGGAGCAGAGTCAGACCTGACTCAACGCCTGGAGGGACAGAGCAGTAAACCTGTCGGGTGTGTACCACAAAACACTCCCAAAAAAGGAGGTGGTGTGTGGGAGAGGAGGTGATAACCAGAGCGTGTGTGTGTGTGTGTGTGTGTGTGTGTGTGTGTGTGTGTGTGTGTGTGTGTGTGTGTGTGTGTGTGTGTGTGTGTGTGTGTGTGTGTGTGTGTGTTTACTGGGATAAAAGCAGGGCACTGTTAAAGGGCCGTGACCTTGACGTGTGGTGGGTGGAAAGGCTCAAAACAATGATTCTCAAATGTACACAACTAAAATGAGTCAGGCATGCAAGTGTGACTCAACATCTTATCCTTAGTCTTTTGTGTGTTTCTGTAATGTATAGAATAATCATGCTAATCTGAAGTGTGTTGTGATACTGGCACACAAAGCTTACTTAACTTTGAAACCACAAAAAAATTAATACAATCTGTGTAACTAGTTCCTATTGCTCTAGTGTCACTAAATTTCACAAGCATGTACTTTTGCTTACTGTCACATCTTTAACAATTGTTTATTAATACACATGTCCCATCCAAAGAATAAGCAAATACAGAAAAAAATAATACAAACTTTATTATTGGATGATTCGGAAACAATTGCCTGTTTTGGTGCAGGACTAAAATGACACACTTTGGTCCTGCACGCCACCGCCTCAGTCCTCGTTCTACAGCCTGAGTCCTTGTAAAGTCCTACAAGACAACTGCATATTGTGATTTACAATTGTATAAAAATTAAAGCTCATTCTTGTCCATGCATATTACAAATCTTCAATCATAATGCTTTTGTCGTCTGTCTACTACTGTATGTGTGTTATTTCTTTATGTCAAGTAAGTTACAAATTATTGTCAAAAATTGCTCAAATCTCATCTGTTGAGAGAAGCCTATATGCACTTTCACCATAACTACACCATCCTCTGTTCATGTGTTTTTTAACTCCGTAAATATACCCCCCTGAGTTTCTATAGATATAAAATGTATTATTATTGTTATAAATAAACACAACAACATAACATCTCTTCATTCAGTCCAACCTGTTGCTATGTGTGTGTAAACTGTGCTATATCTGATACATGAGCTGCTTAGTTCCATGGTTCCCACTCAGCCACAGTCATCTCAGGTATCTCATGATGAGGCATTAGAATATGCTTCTGCTGAAATATTGAGTAATTGATCTATTTCAGTGAAGGTATAAGAGCGAGTTGAAACACGGCCGTCTCCGCAGAGGTGTGTGTGTCAGCGCTGAGAGGCACGCAGCGGATTGTAAACCTCGGCAGACGCTTTGTGGTGACTTTCTCTTCTGGAGCAGACGGCGGGGGTTTGTCACACCATTTATGTGAAAAAGGATGATGTCGTTTCAGGCTTGTGACAACTGCAGAGTGCCAAGTGAAACTGTGACAAGTGCCAGTTTTTATTCTTAGAGACATGACACGATAATTAGAATGACCAATTTCTCCTCAAGCCAAATCTAAATGTAAGAATCAAAGCTAAAACCTCACATTCAAACCTCACAAATGGAACCATGCAGTGATATCCCTGGCTCTAAAATATTATGTTTCTATCACTAGTTTTCACCTGCATGTATTTTTTGTTCCAATCACATTTTCAGATCAGATTTTTCAGACAGAAACGTGAAAAAAAGAGCAAACCGGCCTCAGTCAGCCGTCAAACAGTAACTCACAGGGCTCTTTCTGATCACTAAGCAAAATGTTTTCTGTTCAGATGATGACTGCATGGCATGGTCTGATTTTTTTTACTTTAATTACTTTTCACACAAACATAATGCATTTTTTAGAAAGAAAAGGTAGGTTAGGTATCCCAGCTTTAACAAAAAAAATTAAATAATAATGCATCAGTTTTATAAAGCACTTTTTTTGACATTCAAAAGACACTTCACAGTCTGTGCCATCAGCCCCTCTGACCACAACCAGCCATTCACACACACCTCAGAGTCATTCCAGGCATCGTGGGTGATGTGTCATACCTAACAACACTACAACAGTCACTCTACTGTGGCATATGGTGTACCCAGAGGTCTCCCTTCACTGTACTAACCAGGCCCTGCCCCGCACCTTAAGTTAGGCACAACCAGACGTCTGGCGTTTTGTGAGCGCAACGCTCAACTTGGTTGATATGACACTAACGTGTCTTGGAGATAAGAAGGAGCCAAGCCATTTATGGCTTTATATGTTAAGAGAAGGATTTTAAACTTTATTCTGTACTCCACAGGGAGCCAGTGGAGTGATTTTAACACCGGAGTTATGTGCTCCCTCCTTTTGGTACCTGTTAAGATCCTAGCTGCTGTATTCTGAACGAGCTGGAAGCTCGTTTTAGGGCATGCTGCTAAAGCGTTACAGTAGTCAAGTCTTGAGGTGACAAAAGCGTGGATATGTTTTTCCGCGTCACTTTTAGGAAGGAAATTCCTGATTTTAGCGATGTTCCGCAAGTGGAAGTACGCCGTACGACTCCAAGATTCCTCACGCACTAAATAAGGAAACAAACGTATTCTTGTGTTCTTTGCTGATGAATAGGCAGTACTGACATGTACAGAAACTCCAGAATCCACTGAAACCGGTCTATTTGCTTTGGAAGTACAAATGCAAACACAAGTCCATATGTTACACTCAAAGATGTTAAAAATCCTGGTTATTATCTGCGGTGATTTACACGGTGATGACGGACACTTCCGGATGACTCATGCTTTTATCATGTTCAGAATTGTCAAACACTTCCCGCCTCTTTACGGAACAAGACGAGGCTTCTCCAGCTGTAATTAACAAATCTCCACAAGCATATTGGATTATTGTTCAAACTAATGTGTGGTTTCCTCCCAATGTTTGTGCAGAGAAGTTACATAAGAGTTCTGAAGAAATCCATTAGTCGGTTCAAACAATGTTCAGATGAAAGCTTTGTAAACAATCAGATAAACGCGGACACATAATGTACGTTATGCATATAAGAAAACATGTGTGGTGCATTAACACATTCTTGGAAACTCTAGAAAACCAAAAATGTAGTAAAAATAATAAATTGTTGGTCATTTTGCTTTTGTACAAAGTATAATTACCAGTCCAGACAATAAAAGCAACTGAGGCATACTATTGCTTTAGATTTAAATAATAATAATAATATTAATAATAATAATAATAATATTAATAATGCATTGGTTTTATACAGCACTTTTTGGACACTCAAAGACGCTTCACATGACATTGTTCATTCACTCCATACACAGTGGTGATAAACTACTACTCTAGCCACAGCTGCCCTGGGGCACACTGACAAAAGCGAGGCAACCAGTCTGTGCCATCGGCCCCTCCGACCAACACCAACCATTCACACACACCAGATTCATAGGCAATGGGGGTGAAGTTTTATGGTTTCAATCCATCCATCAATCCATTTTCTTCCTGCCGGGTCACGGGAGCAGCTTAGCCGAGACTTCCCTCTCCACACACTTCCTCCAGCTCATCTGGGGGAATCCCAAGGCGTTCCCAGACCGGCAGAGAGATAGTCCCTCAGCTGGTGTTCCTATAGAGTCTTGGGTGGGACATGTTCGGAAAACACCTCCCCACGTTGGCGTCCAGGAAGTATACCACGTGGAGAAACAGCGGCTCTACTCCGAGCTCTTCACCCTATGTCTCAGGGAGCGCTCAGCCACTCTGCAGAGAAAACTCGTGTGGAGAACTTGTAGTCGCGATCTCGTCCATATCGTCATTACCCACAGCTCACGACCAACACAACCGCACACTGACATTTTTATGTGAACGTGTGGTAGTGAGTGTGATCATCGATTTGGGTTTTCTCAAAGTACTATTTCACACTGAAAAAAGTGACAAAATATACAGTAAGATAATAAATGCTTGAATCAAGACTGTAGGGTCTAAACAGTGAAGCCGTGTAGTCGGCGCTCTCAAACCATAATCCATAGTGTATGAAGTGAGTGAATAAATCCATGGAACAGTAAGATGCAATTAAAAACTCTTTACTGAGTATTCACACAAAAAAACACACACATACTGTACAAAAAGGACTTAAAGACAGAGAGAGAGACAGCGAGAGAGAGAGAGAGAGAGAGAGAGAGAGAGAGAGAGAGACAGCGAGAGAGAGAGACAGCGAGAGAGAGAGAGAGAGAGACAGCGAGAGAGAGAGAGACAGCGAGAGAGAGAGAGAGAGAGAGAGAGACAGCGAGAGAGAGAGACAGCGAGAGAGAGAGAGAGAGAGAGAGACAGCGAGAGAGAGAGAGACAGAGAGAGAGAGAGAGAGAGAGAGAGAGAGAGAGGTCAAAAAACTGTGTGGCTCCACTCTACACTCCCTCCTGGCACACCTGCGCCTTAACTAGCCTGGGGCCAGGACTGAGAAAAATAAATAAATAAATAAAAAACAATATATATATATATACATAAAATCAAGATGAGTCCATGACCTCTTAACACCCGCCTCATTTTGGCTCGTGCACAAAAGTTGGGCATACCCAAATGTCTTTGCTTATCTAAAAACACATCTTACATGTCACAAGCTTGTGTGATGCATCACATTAAAGCTAGAGCCTTCTAGTTTATGTAAATATACACTAAAATAATGTTTGTCATTCCAATTTCACTCTACATCCTTTGAAGTTTAGGGGAAAAAAACTATTTTTTTAGCCTCGCCTAAAATTTTCCATTTCAAAAGGCCCTAAAAAAGGCATAGTTCATTGTAAGTTCACAATATCAAAACCCTATGTTCATTGTGTTGATGACAACAACAAAAACAAAAACAACAAAAACAAGTTTCTTCTAAGACTTCTAAGTTTTATAGTTTTTATGCAGTTTCTCCTTTTCATCAATAGTGCCATTCG